AGAAGGCTGTGTGTGTGTGTGCATATGTGCGTATGGGATGAGGCAGAACGCTCTCATCCCAACTTTGCCCTGATGCCACCACCAGTGCTCAGACACCAAGGATCATAAAGTGTCACACAAGCAATGATCTGTCCTGGGTCATAGCCAGGGTCTATGCCAAACAAAATCAATACACTCATTAATACAATTCCAGTGTCTGTCTAGGCTCTCCAGATTGAACTAGTGTTAAGTATGTCTATCCATTTTTAATTTTTCAATATAAGGTATGGATATGGGTAAAGCATGTGAAGTATTTGATTAATAAATAATATATGGCCTCTTTTGTAATCAATGACATTATTGTTTACCAACACAGATCAGAGAATCAAACAGTTCAAACTCAAGAAATAAAATGATATATATTTATTTTTAAAACACATAGAGCCATTGGTCCATAAGTGGCGGATGACCAATGTTCATAAATGTCCATAAATACAGTAGGTTATGTTTTAAATTTTCAATGATAACTCCAATAGTCCAACACTTCATCAATTAACTGGATTTCCTCTTGTCATGTCATGAAAATATATGGGACAAATTGAACTTGAAAAACAAATACATTCTGCCTTGCTTTAGATAATGTACAGTAACAGGTACAGCAGAAAGTCCACAGCAAACACATTCATTCTTTAATCTACAATAAGTCCTCAAACCATGAGCGTGTACATCACAACATAACGCTTCCTCTCGGCCAACAACAAAACACATTTCCCCTGGTGCATAGGGTGGTAATCTAGAATTCATATAATGTTCGAAAACGAAGCTTAGCACATGACCAGAAAATTACACAGACACCCGAGGCACATTTTGTGTAAATAATCTTGTAATGCGCGCAAGATGCTAGCGGAACAGACTTCCTGTAGGCAGCTGGGCCCAATGAAGAATGCTCCTATCAAGAATGAGAGTCAATATCATGTTTTTTTCGCTCACTTTTTTAGGTATGGAATAATCCCTGTAGGCCAAACACTTTAGCGTCCGCGATGGGATTTTTAGCGTTCGGAGCTGAAATCAAAAACTGAAACGTATTAAAGGAGAAAAAAGGCTGTGTGCGTGTGTGTGTGTGTGTGTGTGTGTGTGTGTGTGTGTGTGTGCGAGAGAGAGAGTGCAAAGGGACCTGGCTTCCATTAGAGCAGTGCATGATCAAATAGGAGGCAGCTGAATCCCGTGCTGGAGCTGGTTAGACGCCCGCCAACAAACCCAGAGCTGGGAGGAAGATTTTTATCAAACACACAAACATGATGGGAGAGGGGCATTCATACTTTCCTGGATACCCACTCTTGCGCACATATGAACACATAATAAAGCACGACGAGGCACAGACTGAACCGCAGGGAAGAGGAAAAACCAAACAAAAGGCAAACGTAATAAAAAAGCAGTAAAAGTCTTGCAAAATGATCTGACTTTCCCCTCGCTTCACCCAATTGCGGTGTTTAACCCAAAGTAATATGTCATGGTTTCATTGCACCTCTAATCCGATAACGCTTTATGGTTCCTGCTGCTATTGCCGCCATTTATTGTCATTTGGAGCTGACCCTTTTCGCGCATCCAGGACTCTCCCACCACCTCGCGATTGAGTTAGGATCCACGCCTCTCGCTGACATAACCATCAGTCTGTCTGCCGACGGTGGGCGGGTGTTGTGCGTGAGGAATGGGAGTGATTTGTAGATTCTGAACTTCTTAAAAAGGAAGTTGGTTTACAGTGTTTGTCTCCCCCAAGAGGAAGAGGAAGACGGAGGTTGCTGCCAGGGACCACCCTTCTATGTGCGGTCCTGTTCGACTTAGCAAGTTGGCCCCAAAGGCTGTGTCTAATGCGAGTCAGGAGTGGTCCGTGTGGGAGCGTCTTGGAGATTAGAAATGGGGACAACAAACAAGATTGAATGGTCAAGAGTTGAAGGATTAACATTCATATGTGTTATTCTGCGTTGGTATGTGTAAATAGATACTGTAGATACGGACTAAGAAAAGCTGATTAAACTTCCATTCCGCCAACTTTTTTTTCCTACTTTCCCTACAGTTCCTCTTGTGTGAGTAAATGTTTTGATTTGAATACGTCTGTTTTACGTTAGTTTTTCTTGTGTTTCTTCTTCACCTTAGATTTCCTTTTTAATTTGCCTTTTTCAATTCAATGTTTATGTATACCCACATGTGCTCTATAAATAAACCTCACCTTAAACTTAACAAGTTGATTAAAGTGTTGGAACTGTATGACACCAGTTTGTTTGAACAGTGTTTTTTCAAACCTGTGTACAAGGACCCCCAGAGGTATTCGAGGGTATTGGAGGAGGTTCTCAAAATGATTTAACTAACTTGCAAAAATGTATAGTCAGAGGTTTAAATGGGCTACTGTGGCATGTTTTACAGCTAATTGCCTCAAGAAAACAACCATACAATTTAACCCATAATGCAATGATTTATCACGATTGGTCTATCAGTCTGCAATAACAAGCCTGTGTACTGATGTTTATTATCCTGTATTTATTTTTTATTTTTAGGCCCAAGCCCCGAACGGGGAAAGGGCCTATTGTTTTTGCTCTGCCGTGCGGGGAGTTGCGCGGTGTGGCGAGGGCCGTTCGACGCCGCATGCGGCTTTAATTTTACTTGATTTTTGTAAGTGAAATGTGTGTGCCTCTCTTAAACTGTTGCTCCAGTTTTTGGTTCAGTCCAACATAAAAACTTTCTTCTGAAAAAAATAAATTTAAATCTCATGGTAAACGATACATTTTGCTCAAAACACCAAAAAAACTAAACAATATATGAAATATTCAGAATGCAATGGTATAACAAAAAAGTATGGGAAACGTCGCATTAGAACATATAGTTATTTACTGGGTACCTAAAACGTTATTATTGTAAAACCGTTTTACACCCAAACTTACTACAACTCCAACAAATCCAACCGCATGTTCGACGTTGCCACAGTAACACACCCAGACAGTGTTTCTCTTCCTTCTCGTATTAAATGTAGAAAATTCATTTTGTCTTCTTATGTTTATGACTTTTTAGGTTCTTCTAATAAGACAATTAAAGCAAAACCAAGCTAGTGCTGCTTAATTACCTGACATGTTTCGGCGGTACACTTCCGCCTTCATCAGAGGTGACACGTGATGGTGTGACGCGTCTCTTATCAGCTGTTGTTGCCGGAAGCAGTCAGTCTGACAGATCTCACAGATCCATCAGACTGACCGCGTCCCCCGCCGCGCTGTGGTCTCTGGAGAAGTGAGTCCTACAAAAGATGGATACGAGAGGCGATCGAAATCAGGAAGCGGGGAACACGGACCATCAACAGAGACGAGGGGGCTTTCACCTTGGCTCACACTTGGGACTCACTTCTCCAGAGACCACAGCGCGGCGGGGGACGCGGTCAGTCTGATGGATCTGTGAGATCTGTCAGACTGACTGCTTCCGGCAACAACAGCTGATAAGAGACGCGTCACACCATCACGTGTCACCTCTGATGAAGGCGGAAGTGTACCGCCGAAACATGTCAGGTAATTAAGCAGCACTAGCTTGGTTTTGCTTTAATTGTCTTATTAGAAGAACCTAAAAAGTCTTCCTTCTCGGTTCTACACAGCGACAGTGGACTCAGCCTGCTCACCAGGCCTCATCTCCTGGTCTTATTTCCTGCTCCATTCCAGACTCCAAACCCAAACAGAGTCCACATGTGGTGCAGCGACCCCTTCCTCCCTGTAACCTACTGTATCCACAAACTCTGAGCTGCTGCGAACTTCCACGCACACGCTCTATTGCACTTTACAGACCCATGTGGGCAGCTTAATTCAATTTTGGAATTTATGTTTATTTCACAGCGAATCCAACAGACTATATCCAGCTCCTTGAATGCAACGGTCACTGCTTTTTTTTCAAGCTTCTTACACATATGGTTGTCATTTATGCTATGTCTGCTTTTTCACGCAAGAATAATGCCATGAAATCTTGAATTGAAATATCTTCAGTAAATGCCTCCCTATGGTCTAAGCCGTTTTGGACAATGATAAGGGTATAGAGGGAAAAAGGGCGGATAAGATCACTAAAGCTAAAGTAAGGTGGCTTTTATTAAGATGAAGATTCTCTGTACTTTCACGGTTAAATGAAAGCAGGAGAGAAAGGTTTGCTCGCACGTGTTCATTCTACATGTTTAGATCATGTTACATTTTTTTCAATTTATTTTCATTGTGAATCCGTGCCCCCGTTTACAGCAGAGCACTGTATTCCTGGTTTGAATTAACTCGAAACATGGTTCCACCAGTGATAAGTATCGGAGAGGACAGGCTGCGAGATTACTTTGGATCTTAGAGCGGCTTCTTTTGATTTTTCATTTTGGACACAAGATAAGAAGAGGTCTGGGAAAACACGGAAGGGCACGCACTTCAGAAGAGCCGCCATGGTTCATAGAAAAACCTTGCAAATAAATTGTGCTCTTCCACAAAATTATACAGTTGTGGCATTTTGAAAAAAGGCCAATATTGAACAAATATTATACAAGTGCATGTTGTCCTAAAAGGTTCAATTCAATTCAATTCTGTTCAATAGATGTTTGTATAACCTGGAGGACTTTACACAATTGGTAATTCAAATGAAGCTTATAAAAATGAAGCTTAAAAGGAACTTCAGACTGGTACGGGCGGCACGGTGGCTGAGTGGATAGCACTCTCGCCTCTCAGCAAGAAGGTCCTGGGTTCAAATCCCGGCCGGACCAGGGCCTTTCTGAGTGGAGTTTGCATGTTCTCCCCGTGTCTGCGTAGGTTTCCTCCGGGTACTCCGGTTTCCCCTACCACTAAAAATATGTTCAATAGTTCTAGCATGTGCCTCCTGTACTGGCCCCGCTCCCATCTCTGTGTGGAGTGAGAGACAAATGCCCAAAATTAACAATTGTAAACCGCTTTGAGACTCAGATCTGCAGTGAAAAGGCGGTATATAAATAAAAACTTACTTACTTACTTACTTACTTACTTACTGGTAGACTACCCGTGCACGCCCCCCGCACCAGGCTGGCCCCTTCCTTCATCAGCCTATCACAACATCCAGGCTTGTTCCCATAAACACATTTGTTGTTTTCTGTTAAGTTACCTTGAAAAAACACACAACACACACAACTACCTTCACCAGACAAAAATACATGAATACATGAGTCCAACTTTGCAAGACAAAATGCAATCAGGCATATGATTTTTTTGTGCTGTTTTTGTTTACTCTTTTTTCTATACACTAACACAATGTATTAAAAACAGATCTATTAATACCCCAGCAAAGAAAATACATATTTCATTCCCTACATTGAAAACAACAGGAAAGAGTTGATTCACAGTGTTTTGGTTAAGCCATAGACATGTCTTTGTTTGACATCCACGGATCTGATTAGCACCGTGCAGGTCTATAATATCTTCATAAATGTGAAGTATGAATAACGCTGACATATTGAAATAATTGAATTGTACTCTGAATGCTAAAAGCTTTGAACTTTTCTGACCAGACTGTCTCAGTTAATGGAGCATAATGAAATCAGACTCAGAGATTGACCACGGCAGACTGTGGCTCTGGAAGAATAAGTTATTGGATCTACAGTATAGACGTCAGGCGCAGACAAGTTTGCAAGTGCAGCTACATCCTGTCACTTTCAAAGAAGTTCAGACAAAGCCAAGGTAATACAGTGGCTGAGAGGGCAGTGCTCATGCTCCAGAGCAAAAAAATTGGGGTATGATTCCTGTGCCGAACCGGACCATTGTTTTTAGCGGCCAGTTAGCATGTGTCTCCCCAAATGTATTGGTGAGATTCCTCTGTATGGTCCGGTTTACCCCACCACCCAGAACATGCAGCAGAGGTAAAATCCTCCATGCGGCAAAGGTCCTGACCCAGAGCATTAATGTCTGGAGGTGGGTCCCCAGGCGCTGCACTCGGAGATGTGTTGCACTGTGTAAGGCAACATGAAGTCATGGTCTGAGGTTTGAGGCACCAGGTGTTTTGCTGTCTCAGATCTGTCTGTCTGTCTGAAGAGAATTTAATTAATGCTGTATGTGAGTTCTTACTAACAGTGTAGCACAGCTCTTCAAACAAATTAGAGCTGTGAAAGAGCCCTGTGAGATTATTTGACTTGGATTGAGTGGATTATCTGAGCTGATCTAAACTTTAGCATTGAAAATAAGCAAGTATAAAATCTCAATAAAGAACCATGTGACAAATGGAGTGAGTACCAAACACCATCTCCTGGAACTCATCTGAGAACCTCACTGAAAAAGTTATGTGCACCCTGCATATAGCGCTTGTTTGGACACTCTAAGACACTTCACATGTCATTATTCTTTCACTCCAAACATGGTGGTGATAAACTACTACTGTAGCCACAGCTGCCCTGGGCACACCGACAGAAGCAAGGCACCCAGTGTCCGACCACCACTAACCATTCACACACACAACAGACTCATTCTAGAACAGGCATGTCAAACTCAAGCCCGTGGGCCAAATCCGGCCCGCAAGACAATTTTTAGTGGCCCCTACATGACTTTTGATAATCAATGTTACCGTGCAGCATTAACATTGCTGCATGGGCTATTTGGCACGTTATACATCACCTATTTTCTCAGATGAACAACCAAATTTAATTTATTCTAAAATGTTAACTCAACACATCATTTGACGTATCCATCCATCCATTTTCTTCCCCTTAATCCATTTCTGGGTTGGGGGGGTGGCAGTCAGAGCTGCACCCAGTACAGTTGGTGAGTCCACAGGAGCTGAGATTTTTCAGTGGGGGCTTTAGGCAATGTGGACACAACGTCAGCAGTCATCAGTGGGAGTCATAAAGCAGGTCTTGCGGTGGGCTCGAACCCACGACCTTCACGCCCAAAGGCCAATGCATTTCAAGTATATAAAACAATATTGTATGTTTAAGTTTTAGTATGTCCTGATTTGGTTAAACCAAATAATAAACACATTTCATGACAAATACAGTAAAAACTTTTGCCCTGACCAGCTCCATTCAAAATGAGTTTGACACCTCTGTTCTAGATAATGTGGGTGAAGTCACAGTTTGTCATTTTACAGACGCAGCCACTGTGGCAACTGGTCTCCCATCACAGTCCTAGCCAGGCCCTGTCCTGCTTAAACTTCAGACTTGTCTAACAGGATCTAGCTTTCACATGCAGGTGGCGCCACACCTCATGAGAAAGCCCAGACACTATCTCTCCTGACACGATACAGCGTCCAGAGCGCGTGTCGGCGTTCCCGTGACGGCGGCGCAGGTGATCCGTCAGCTGTTTTACATCACTGATAATGAGGCGCTCCCGTGACCCTCGCGCCGATCCCCGTCCCGGCGTGATGGATGAGCGTCTCCCCCTAACCCCATCCTGCGCTGCCCTTTGCGCCATGGCCCACATCTGGAACAATGATCAGGTTGTTTTCTCACGCGGCGATCCGAATGAGGACGTGACCGGACTGATGCGGTTCTGCCAATCCACCCAAAGTTGTCCGCTTCCTCCGCAAGTTTCCATCTGGGAATAAAAAAGAAAAGGAGAAAAAACTGGCTGTTACGTTTGACTTGTGATGGTCGGGTGATGTATGAGCGCAGAGACAGGGAGCACAGATATATCAATGTTCTATTTGTGTGTTTCTCTTTATCTCTTGTCATAAATGTCCCCAAATGGTTGAACAGATATACATTTGAAAGCCAAGCATATAGTTGGGAAGGAGATAAAATCCTGTTTTGTGCTTGCTGTGGGATTTCAAAGTAAATCTACTGTGATATTATTTGGTGACAGAGGAGAGAAGAGAAGCCAAAATATGCAATGCAGGAAATGTATCATCTTTGAGAAGAAACCCTAAAAACATCTTTGAGAAGTTTTTAGGGTTACTTTTAATAGGAATGGTTTATGAATACAATTTACCCAGATTGCTCATTATTTCCTTTTTCCCTGTTTATTGTCTGTTATGTCCGTATTTATGTTCATAGAAATATAAAAATCCTTACAGGGATGCTTGAAATGTTTGAGCTATTAATGTTTGTTTTAATGAGCCTGGTTCGGATGTCTACTTTTTTCAAAACTTGAAGTTGGAAACAAACTTTAAAAAGGTAAAAACAATGTTGTAACCATAGACATAAAAGTCAGAGCATGTTCTATTTCTTCCCATTCAAAGTTATGGACTTACAGTTATGGAGCTTGTGGTGAGCTCCTGCAGGAATATTGAAAAAAGTGCTTTCAGCTCCCCCTGCTGGATTTGCCGAGTAGTGAAAATTGCGCTGGAACTGCTGTTGTGATACACGTCATGTGACCCTGCTGGATCAGGCCAGAACAGAATGGCGGCAGCTCCAGACAGAAGTTTTCTTACTTAGCCCCAAACGTCTGCGTGACTTCCTCACTGGTCAGATAATCACACTTGATAATGTTAGCGAGGCCCCTAGCAACACCGTGAGGAATCTTGGAGTCGTTATTGAAGAACTCTCCTTCAAGGCACATATAAATCAAGCAGTTAAAACCTCAAACTTTCACCAGTGCAAAATTGCTAAAATCAGGAATATCCTTCCTAAAAGTTCTCTTTCATTCCATTGCCTTTTAATTCCAAATCGAGAATAAACTGCTTTGAGTGGTCCTTTCATATAATAATTTATCTGGAACTATCACTGCCGTCACAGATAGTTCACATACAAAACCAAAATAATGATAAAAACAACTACAATTTGTTGTAATTTGTCAAATCAATAGAATAATGACATTTGTATACAGCTCTGATACAGTATATGTGTGCCGTGAGTAATTGAACTTATGTACTGTAATTATCTGAATTGTATGTGTTTAAATATACTGTAATTATATGTGATGCACTACTGGGAATCCTAAATAAATACAAATATATCCTCATAATATTTTGGGATCAAAGTTCACGCGGAAGCTTCTTTGAGTGTCCAAATTAAGCGCTACTTAAAACCAATGCATTTTTAGTCATTTATTTTTTGGTAAAAGGTTGTTTCTATTTAAAACAATGGGCTGTGATGTAGTAAGTATAGGAGGGAACATTACTGAAACCTTTTAATAGCCAAAACGTAAACGATTGGCTCTGCTGGAGGTCTCTCTTCCTGCTGGGGCTGGCTGGAGGCAATCAGTAATTAGCTTTCGCAGAATGAAAATCACACATAATCACTATATTCATCCTTAATATAATACCCGCTGGCTCAACAGTCCCACTTCTCTGAGTCCCTTTGCTCTGCACTTGTAATAAAACCCAATTTGTTGTTGTCCCTTGTTAAAATCCAAATCAAACGTGCAATGTTTTGTCCTCAGAAAATCAGAGAGGCTTTGTGTTGGATGAGGGTGGCCGTCGTAAAAGGCAGAGTTGCATCATTAGAGGTTTATTGGTGTAGGTTGTTCGGAAGTTATTGCCGTATTTGTTTCTTTGTGCCGCTCTCGTTTCCAGAACATACGTGTGTAGAATGCGGCTGCAGCATAAGCCAAGATCAGACTTTTATCTCACAATGGAAAAATCTATACGTGGAAGCTGGAAACTTGTGAATTTACAATTATGAAATATGCACTGAGTGAAAGTCAATATGCTTAAAGTGATAGTCTGGAACTCTAAATAAATTACATTTTTTAAGAATTGTGTTAAATTGACCTCCTGGCCTTAAAAGTTGACATAAATAAAGTAATTTTATGAATTCCATTATTACGGGAAAGTCCCGCCTTCCCTTCTCTTAGCTATAGCTCAGAATCCACGGTGTCGTCGAGGTTAACCAATCAAGTCATGCCAAGGGCTGTCAATCATCGACACTGATGCTTGTAGCCGCGCGCATGCTCAGTTGTTTGTTTTCACGGAGCCTCCGAACCAAGCTCCATTAGGCTCTGGAACAACATGAAAACTGAACAAAGAATTCTGAACATCCGCGCTGAGTTACTTATGTATATACTGAACCTATATCCATAATCAGATCCTCTGCAGATGTGTCCTATAATGTGCAATTAATGATAATAGCTTATTCCGGGTTTTCCGCGATCGCTTTTTTTGTGCATTAAAACATTATTTTTGTCATGAAAACAATAACAAATAATTCTGAAAACCTCTGTGCATGTATGTTAATAATGTTTATGCATAATGTGTTCTCAGATTAACATTTTAATGAGTTACGGAAACGTAGGTGTAGACCAATCAGAAAGGAAGAGGGAGGGAGCTTGGGTCGTTTTTGTACCTCTCTCTCTTTTTTCTCACAAACTCCAGACACTCACTTTAACAGTAGGATTGTTATTTTCATCTTTAAAGGTTTATAGGAGGATTTTCCTAAATTTTAGGAAAGAACGCCATCGCTACTTTTTGAAAAAAACTCTCTGGTGTTGTTTGATGAGCACATATTTTGGCTAGGTTGTTTGTCCGGTCAAGTCAAGTCTGCGTATATGGGACCCGGTCCGCTGCATCTTCCACCCTACGTTCAAGACTAGGCTAAAACAGTCCTCTTTAGTTCAGCATATGGTCAGGAAGGTAAGACTCAGGGAAGGCAAAACTCCTCAGACTGTCAGTCAAGCTGCATAGGGAGTCAGTTTGCTGGGAAAAGTATGGTAACTTGAGCACTATCCTCTCCTCCTTCCTACTTTATCTGTTTAGCATTATTCGGATTTTGACAGTAGTTTGTTCATTGCTATTCACCCGTTGTCCCATTGTCTGTTCCATGGTACGATGACGGGACCTCTGGACCTGGCCTCCTCCATCTACTGCCCAGCCCATCCCGCCTGGGAGTGCTTCAGTCCTGCACCGGACCTGTCCACGTTCAGCGGCCGCTGGTCCACGTTCTGTAGCTTAGGTCCTGGATCATTAGCCTGTCCGTGTGGAGCGAATCCCCTTCTCAAACTATGGGTCTTCCCAGAGGTTTCTCACTTTTTCCCACTGGGTTTTCTCATGAGTTTTTCCTTGCCGATGCAGGAGGGTCTGTTGGGCAGTTAGTGACCAACTAGAAGGACGGTGGTGATGATCCAGGACACTTTAGAACACATGCTGAAAAATGTCCATACATGTTGTAGAATGTTAAATTCTTTTTGTGTTTTAACTGTTGATTCTCTGATCTATGTTGGTGATTTCAATGGTTTTGTTAAGTCCTCTGAGATGACTTCTGTTGTAATTTAGGGCTATATAAGAATAAATTGTATTGTATTGTATTGTATATCACCAGAATGATTGACAATTGGGAGGACCAATACTCTTGATGATCTAACAGGAAGTAGAAAATCCTCTTATATACCTTTAAAGGCTTAATATTCAGGTCCATAGATGTAACATCCAATCCTGTCCAATGTATTGCAAGGAAAATAAGTATTTAAAAAAAAAATCTTATTGGGAAAACCAGTTATACAATTATTTCTTATTGATAAAATACCGTCTGAGTATGTGTTAATAGTCTCTTGCTAACCAGAACATCAGAAACACCTTTTTTTTATTGCTCCATTATACAGCATTGAAATTGTACATACTCTAGATAAATAAATACACTCCTCAAACTTGAAAAAAGCTACACCACAGTTTTGAATATTCATGTCTCATATAGAGCACATCACCACTTCATTAATTCCCAGTCATAAGGTTTTAAATAAGCAATTAGAGTTAATTATGGACAATTAAAAATTCTAAGAAATGGCACCAAAAGAATGTCTTATCTAATTACACCGAATGGAAAAGTCTTTAAAAGTATACGCTGCTAATGTTGGTATTATTATTTTTCTTCTCATGCGTTTAGCTGAATATTCAAAGCCAAGAGCCACTATCAGCATAATAAAATATTCACATGTTCTACTAATTTGCTTTTATTGCGCGACCAAAATTCATTGTTGCATGGAAACTAATAAGAGTGGAATATAATAATAATAGTGTGACGACAGCGAAAAACCTCTGTCTTAGGGAGAAATGCCTTTATTATTCATGGCTTTTGAAAAAGTTGGTAAATGAAGCAAGTTTCAAGTATAAAAAAATCACATTATTCATGAGGATCTAGTAGCATCACAGTTTTCTGCATAAAACATAAAATGATTCCAAGAGATAATCGTCTACCTCAAACACTTCTTCTCCCCAATTCCTATTTCAAAATATTCATACAATATCTACAATGCAATCAAAGCATCTGGATTACGGACAAAGAAGTCTCAGAAAAAATAATTATCTACGGTTAGGTATAGATCTACAGAAGTTACAGGTAGATTTTCGCTGGTATCAGTAACTTTACTACTGTATTTCTACTTCTTACTGTACTTTTAAACCCAAATGTGTAATTCCTAATATAATGACTTGTTACGATTGAGTGGTTAGCCATGCTTCTAAGTGATTGCATTTGTGATTGTTGGCAGTGCTTCTAAAGCCTGGTTCACACGGCAGGATATTTTGGCCGATTTAGACCCGA